TACTCGTAATATTTTTTATTGATTTATTTATTTCTTTGCTTTGTATATAAATGATGATGTTTTTTCAGATTTATTCTTTTTACTGCCAAGTGAAAGTTTTGAAAACGCACAAAGTATAATTGTAAACTTACAAGTAGAGCACAGTGACCATCTGAACGATAATCTGCTGCCAAAAGTGTGTAAATCATAAGCTAAGTCGAGGCATTCTAAACACGACACGAATCGAAGAAGTAAATCCCTCGCTCTGGGTGAGAGGCCCCTTAACCCTATTAATATAATAGACTTACAGTGTTTATGGTGAGGGCGAAGAGGAGTCGCTGTCCTCGCACTCGGATTGTGTATAACTTTCGCTGCATATAAAAATAGAAACTCTGTGTTGTCCCCAATCGCGGTTCTAGTTGGTTGGCCTTAGCTTCTGTTTGCTTCTATGCCTTGCATTGATGCTCTTCCCACGATGTGGATTCCCCTTGTCATCTCTGGGTACTCCTCTCCCTACCTCCGATAATCTTTACTCCGTTCACAGTTCGCATTTGTAGGCACTTTAGTGTTTCTCAAACAAAAAAGCATACAATCGATCCGCACTCTCTTGCTTTCCTTCTATAAATATTTACTGGGTGGGGTTTGACAACTCTGCTGCTCTGCTGGTCCTGCTCCTGCTTCTGGCCCCCGTAGGGCGGCAGTATCTAAGTGGCGGGCATCTGGTGCTCCTGGCCTAAGTACATCTTAACAGAGTTGGCTGAACGCTCCAAACTCGACGTAGGAATTAACCGAAATAACAAAAATATTCTTATTTTAAACTGCGCTCTGTTCCATGCATAATTAAATTAGATGTAAAATTGCGGCTGCCTCGGCATTCTGTCCTTTTCGAAGGAGGGCGGCGCTCTCTGTTCTTTGTTCCTAATAAAACCTCGGGCCCTTTGAAGGCCGCTTAAGAGGGCGTGCTTAACGCGGGCGCGATTGCTTAGTAGCTCCGCCGAAGGGGCGGCTAGTTGCGCGGGTTAACTCTAGTTACAACATAACGTAACGGTAACCTACAACGATTAATCCTGTGCTATAAGGTCGCCCAAAAGGCGCTCAAATCGGAGGCGGTCCGCGGATATAGCGCAGCTGGGGCGTGAAGCTCATGGACAGGTTGTTCAGGTTGTCGCAGCAGTTGGGCTGCATCAGGCAAGCAGCGCAGAAGATGGTGAAGAGGGCCACCTGCATAGGCACCGCCGCCCGGGCGATGCGCCATGCCCAGCCTCGGCGAGATCCCTTGCCGGAATCGGAGTCCTCCTCGGCGTTATCCTCCTCTGCGCTCTCCAGACTAAAGATCAGCGAGGGATCGTCCGAAGGATCATCGCCGCCATCGCCACTGGTCAGTGTCTTGAGCTGGCTGAGCACCAGCTTCTCCTGCTCGGGAGTCAGCTTATGCTCCAGATTCACTTCAGCCGCGACAACGGATTTTCCCTGACGGGATTTGCGCGCATTCTTACCACGCTTGCCGGGCGAGTGGGGCTGAGCCTGGCCCTTGACCGCCGCCTGCTTGTGCTTCACCTGCCCGTTGACTTTGATTGCGGACTCCGATCGCTGCTGGCTCTTTTCCTGCTGGTGCTCCTGCTCGCTCTGTTGGAGCTGCTGCTTCTGCTGATGGCTGGTTGCCGTGCGCACAATCAAATCGCGGCAGGTGTTCTGCAGGTGCTTGAGCTCCGCCTCGGCACTCTCCATCCTGGCGGCAATCGAGCGCATGGCCTCGCTGCCCGGGGCCAGGGCCAGTTCCAGCTGCTTGGCCAGGCGCCGCAGGACACCCAGGCGTCGCTCCCTCTCCGACAAACCACCATCGGAGGTGGCACCGCCATCGGAGATGCCAGAGTCCGAAAGCGAACCGTTCGAGGCTGTGAACTTGGCTATGTGGTAGATATGATTGGGATCGAGGTGCTGCTGCACGGCGAGCAGCTGCTCCTGGCTGACGTGCACCTTCTCGGACAGCAGTTTGGCCACCAGCTTCACGTTCTGGGCCAGTTCTACGGGCGTAGCCTGTCCCTTGTCCAAAGCTCCTTCCAGGCCCTTCAGAGTGCCCCTGTCCTGGCCCAGGGCCAGGTGGAACTCACTCAGGCCCGACTCCAGTTGCCGCCAGGCAATCAGCGAGTTGGTGAGCATCTCGAGTTGCGTGTTGATCCTGCAGTAGGCAATGGATATGGATTAGAGAGGATTCCTCGTAGCATTCGAGAAGCAAACTCACCTGGCATCCGCCTCGTCCCAGGCGCTATACATATCGCTCACTTCGTTCTTCAGGTGCTTGTGGAACTCCTGTTCCGCTGACATTAGCGAGTGGACATCCCAGGCTCCCGGTGTGGCAGTAGAGGCTTCTCCTGTGGCCGTTGCGGCCTCCACCTGGTTGCCATTGCTGTCCGTGACCGTGATTGCCACCGTCTGCTTCTCCCTCTCACTCTCCCTTTTCTCCTCAAGGGCTTTCTCTGGTTTCAGTTGCTGTTCGGACTCCTGATGCTGCTGCTGCTGCTCCTCCATGGCGTTCTGTAGACGCCGCTCTTGCCTGGTCAGCCAGCTGTGGACGGAGGCGTTGAGCCGGAGCATATTGGTCCTGTAGCTAGACAGCTGAGATTGCTCCAACTGCGGGATATACATATAAATAATAGTAAAAGTTGGCGGAAAATATATCCTTCACTCACCTTGAGGGCCTCCACGGCTATCTGGATGGCCGGCTCCGTGTCGAGCAGCTCTGGCGTTGGCTTATCCCCCAGTCGCTGCAGCGAAAGCTTCAAGGCGCTCATCTCCTGCTGCAGCTTACGGGCAGCCGAGGCATTCTCGCTCCAGCCTAGCAGATCCTCCCAAGCGGCGAGCAGGTCTAAAAAAATGAGAGCAACAAATTGGGGGATTCAGGATGAGGTTGGTTAGGTGCAGGAGGTGATTTTCGGTGGCTTAACTAGTGCTCGTGTCGAGAGAAAGGCAATTTAATTGGGTGTCTCAGTCCTCGGTCTCATTTCCATTTACGTCTCCATCCCATTCCCATTTAGAGAGACCCTTTCCCCCTGCTAGCCCTTGGTAATGAATACCTTTCTCTAAACTCTGGAAAAATCACAGCGGAAAGTGAAACTCTGGGGCCGCGGAAAATCAACAAAAACAACAGTTTAAAAGTTTGCCATCGCCTCTTTGCGGTTTTTGTTGCGGGAGCCACACCGCTACCAAACTAAAAAGTTTTCTAATTGAAATGATTTTGCTGGGACTGAATCTAGTGGAGGTTCCCCCTTTGCACACACCTTGTATGCCTCTGTTTCCGCTCGGAATGCTCGCTTTGTGGGCTTGGATCGGCTGTAGATGGATTGGGATTCTGATTCTGCATTGAACGTTGGGCGGACTGGAACCAGAACCAGAACCGAACAAAAGAAAAGCTCAGCCAGCGAAAAAAAAAGAGGCAGAGTGATGAATAAAGAATGATATTCCTTCTAGTCGACTAGGGAATACCTAGTATTTAAAGAGTTCTAGGAAAAAATTACATAAAAGAGGATCTCCTATTAATAAAAAATTCATACAAAAATATTAAGTTGAGGCCTTATTTATATTTTCCAAGAACATTAATATCACACCTCAAAATTCCTTATTTTTCAAACCCTTTTCTTAGGTACTAATCAAAGATTCTATATCCTCGCACTTTTAGGTAAATCTCTGGCAATAACAACTCACCCTTGATAGGTCTAGAGTGTTGAGTTTTTTCCTGAGTTTTCCACGGAACCACTATGTTTAAATTTTGCGACAAGTGCGTGTGGCCCGGTTGAATAATTGAAATGCAATGCGTAATGCGAGTTTTACACAAATTACTTTCACCTGGCAACTGGCCAAAATCTGTGTTTTCTTCAGCTTTTTCTTGTTTCTTTTATTTTTGCAATCAAAATCCGCAGAGGATTTGACGTAGAAAATAAAACCTAACCGAACCGAACTTGTTGGCTGCCAAACCGAAACTGGTTGAGTGAACTTCAGAGTGCCAGCTGCAACGCAGCTCGAAGCGCGACTCGGATCGGGGATTTGGCTTTGGGTGGTGCCACGCTGAGCTCGGATCGCAGTGGCTGCAGCCCACAAGACCAAGTGGAGCGCAACTAAAATGATCGAAATGGTTGAGCACAAAGGGGGTGCTTTGCAGAGGGTTTCAGAAATTTACATGCTCGCCCAACTGGGTGATGTTTGCACTGGGATAATATTTGGTATGGAAAGTATTTAAAAATAAATATTTGAATAATTTCATTTAAGCCTCTAAGAATTATCAACCAGAACAAGGCTTTAGGAACTCAAATTCTCGTTTAATATTCCATTAATACCTCGATTTATCTTAGTGTAATCACAGCTCACGCACTTGGTTGCGTTTGGTTGTGATCTGGTTCGAAGTCGTTTCAAGTTCGTACCAAAAGCTGAAGTTGCCCGGCTCAGAGGGATCGGGGTGCCAACTCTCGACTCCACCTGCTTTCCGGCAGATATTGAATAATCTTCGCTAGATAATGGGTCGACAGCCGCAAAAAGTGCACATAAAATTGATTAGCCATTAACTTGGCTAAGTGAGGAAGGAGATTATTGGCCACGACTTTCTCTTTGCGCTAATCAAGCAGCATGAACACAACTCATATCTCAGCTCGGCGTTGAAAATTAATTAAGCTGCCAGTGGGGAAACTCCCCGCGACCTGCCCCAACAACTGCCTCATTTTAATTTCAGCTGAAAATATGTTTATTTTCTCCACTCGACCAGCTGGGAGCTTCTTCCCTGCTGACATGCAAATCTGCTGCTTTATTTGCGCTACTTGCCGTTCATTTCGTCACGATAGCAAATACCCGACGAAAAGTGCAGAGACCGCAACATGGAGAGTGGGAGGGGTTTGGGCCAAGGTCGTTGACGTTGGCTGCAGCCATGGGAGAATATTTATATTACTCGAAAGTGTGTAGGAGAACCATCGACGAGCGAGAGAACACAGAATTGGCAGACAATAAACACTGCAGTTAACAAAAAAAATATTGTGTTGTTTTTTACGGCACTGAACTCGTGGCGAAAACTAGAAAATATAATATACAAGAAAGGAAGCTAACTTCGGCACGCCGAAGTTTGTGTACCCTTGCAGATTGGTTTTGATGTTTATATATTATAGATTATAATACTGAAAACACTCACAAAACAGAGTTTCATTACATTTTACCTATACTTATTATGTTTACAGTTTGACAGTTACAGTTTTACATTCCCAGCTTTACATTTTCTCTAAAATATCATAACAAAGCCAAAAAAGCATTAAAATCAATTCTGTAAGCATTTCTATGCTAGTTTTTTCTAGCTTAAGAAATCTGCATCTTAAATTTTAAATGTAAAGAAATCGAATTTTAGGTCGATTTTTGAGAATTTTAATGATGTAACCCCTTATCAATTTTTGAAAAAATGAACAAAAAATTTTTTCTTTCCGGGCATGGCTAGAAAGAATCTCCTGTTTATGCTGATCAAGAATATATATGGTTTATAGGGTCGCAAATGATAGCTTCACTTAATAAAATCATATTTTCCTTTCAGGAAGACCGGAAATATTAATTATTTTTAAAAGGATATTTTCCATATTTTTTTTATGATAATTTTTGGAAAAATCAAAGTCAAAAAATATCATAACTAAGCCAAAAAAGCATCAAAATCAATTCTGTAAGCATTTCTATGCTAGTTTTTTCTAGCTTAAGAAATCTGCATATTAAATTTTAAATTTAAAAAAATCGAATTTTTTGTCGATTTTTGAGAATTTTAATGATGTAACTAACCCCTTATCATTTTTTGAAAAAATGAACAAAAATATTTTTCTTTCTAGACCTGGCTAGAAAGAATCGCCTGTTTATGCTGATCAAGAATATATATGGTTTATAGGGTCGGAAATGACTCCTTCAATGCGTTACTAGCCTCTGACTGAAATTATAATACCCTGCAAGGGTTTAAAAATGCAGGAGAAGTAGCACAAATAAGTGGAAAGCTAAAGCCTAGAAGACACATATAGGAACCTATTTGATAATCTAAAGTCTAGATTCTACATACAACTAGTAATTCATTTCTGACTTACTTAAGATGGATTTTCATGATTCAATTGCAAATTGTGAAGGTAAAGAAACTTTGGAAGGTACCTCCCTTTCTTTTTTATCACCAGTTAGCTTTCATAGTAATTACTTACTTTGCCTTAACCCAAAAATAGACAACTCTGACTACCTCAATTTAATTTATTATTCCACCCTCCAAGAAGGATACACAAACCCCAGGGAATGGCGTGACAAGGAGCCATGAGGAGCTAGAAAAAGGTGTGTTCTAGATTCATAACATTCAGAAATATCTATACCCTAAATGGAATAACTATAATATGCCCTTCTATAGATAAAGAAAAGCAAATAAAGCCAGCAGGTGAGGTAAGACAACCGCCAAAATTATAAAAACAAAACGAAAACAGTCAGTGGCTGACCTAAGGCACAGCTCAAAATATTTGCCAAATTAATCTTGAATAATTATAGACAAAAAAAATGCCTTTGGCTTTTGTGTGTGTGAGAGAGGCAAACAATTATAGACAATTAGCAATACAAAATTTTTAAAATATATATAAAAAACGACGTTGCTGGATATTTTTAAATGCTGGTTAGAGACAGGAGAACAGCCAACGAGCAAAATTATCACCGAGATGTTAAAATGCTAAAAATGCTCAAGATGTTGAAAATGTGAATGGAAATCGGTCTTTCTGCATGAATGAGGCAATAAATCTCCCGTTTGCAGCAGTAAATCCACAAACGGAAATTGCCTGGCAAATGTAAATGGGAATGAAAATGGCGAATGTTTCCACAGAGGAGGTTCCCCCTCAGCGGTTCCGGCCAAAGGAGGTTCAATGCCCTTCCAACCACAACTATGAGCCACCTGAGTGGTGGCTGCAATCATCCAATCGATTTGATCCCGTTTTGGGAAGTATAAATACTTTCAACTCCACAGCTTCAAATCAAGCGAAGGTCAGCCGATAGATCTATAATTAATGCTCTCTGTCGTCGAATAACAACTGAGAACTTGAACTTAGCCTTAGTTATATGAGGTAATTGAGCAACCGGTTCCGACATTTTTTCTGTCTCTCTGCTCGCTCTAAAAGGAAAACTTTAAAGAAGAATATATGCCATAAAGAGCTAAACATTGCCAGTGCTCACTGTTCGTTTACCGTTAATTAACAGCAAGACAAGCAGCAGCGGGGCATGACGGTACAGTAAGCACCGGCAAACCCTAATTAGTTAGCCAAGCAGGCAAGCCCGATTTGGCAGGCTACCAAGTGCCTTGAAGTGGCTTAAAGTCGGTCACTATGTCTGGCGGAATTAAGAATCGTCAAGAGAAGAATCTTAAAGAATCGGGAATCAGCAAAGCCTGATTCTTGGCCATCAACTTGAGATTCTTTATTGGGGTTTTTTATGTGAATTACATTGCTAGCGGATCTAAGAGTGGAGAAGAGATCGTCGTTCTTTAAGCACTCAAGTGGCGTATTTATGATCTGGAACATTGCTGCTGCTGCTTCTCCTGCTTTTAGATTCTTTTAGATGTGGCAATGTTTTTCTGGGTTAAAGTAGAGTATAAAGCACCGTAAGACCCTTATCAAGAGCTTATTGGTTTGGAGAGACTTAAGAGGGTATACATTGTAGGGTACTCTGAGACCTAATCAGAAATTTCAATGGATTTTTAAGATCTAGAAAGGATGTATTCCTTAGGATGGGGATAAGTTAAAGATAAATATTTAAAAAAAATCAATATGCTGTGAAAAAATAGGTTTAAATATAGTGTCTTAAAAATGTGAACAGAAAAGTATTACAAAATATTATTATTTTCTCTTTCTTAGCTTTTACCTCTGTGTAAATGTGACCTCTTATATTAGCTTAAGATTAGCATTCCTGGATATTACTAGTTATCCCTTCTTTTATTAGTTTTCCTCGACTTCTTTAACTTTCCAATTACCCCTTTTAAAGCGTTTTCTATTACAACTTAGATAGCACCTACATTTCTCCTAAAACAGACCCAAACAATCTCTGGGTATTATCTCCCGTATTCCCTCTAATTGCCAGCTTAGTCACCAGCACACTTTTCCCTTAAAACCTTCAACTCATGTCTCTTCTCTCCCAACTTTACCTCTTAGCGACTCAATTTGCTCTGCTCGTTTTCACTCTTATCGCATTGTGCGATCTAGTCAGGGCCTCCGCATCTCATACACGCTTTACACCTGTTTCCCAATTATGTTTACCAGGCCAGCACATCATTTATCTCTCGGCCCCTCTAGTAGGCACATATCTCTACTGGAGAGTGTTTGCCTTTTGCCATTGTTGGCTGCTCGGCTGCTTGGATGGATGGTTTAATGGCTTAGAGTGTTTGTGTTTACCTTGTTCCGATGACGAGCGCGATGTGTTAGTGGAAGAGGTGGCCGAGAGCATTTCGGAAATATCCGTTTGAACGGCCACGCTGACTTTCCCCATAATGGTCGGCGGAGTTTTCTACCCTTGGCCCTTAGGAAAATGTGGAAAATGGGTGGCGGGGAGGAAAAGCTTTGCTCTTGCTCTCACTCTCGCTCTCTTATTGGGGTGACCCACTTTTAGTGAACCACAAGCGCCACTTGAAATCAATTTTTGTAAACAGTTTTGTGTTTTAAAAGATTTTCCATTTCTACACTCACAACACAGAAACACAGCGCGGCGAGATTATGGGAATTTTCCCCGTGATTTGAGCAATGCTGCATTGAAATTTTATTTTGCGACCTCGAAAAGTTCAGGGAAAACTCTCGCCAATCTCTTATATCGGGGGAAAAAACAAAACTCTTATACACGCGACTTGGGGTTTTATGAATGGCAGATGTTTTGAGCCTCCGAGGGAAGAGTTTTCGCTGATATGCTTAAGTAGGTTTAGAGGGAGCTCGGTTATGAATTTATCACAGTTATTTTTGGTGGAATTATGAGGCAATCTCGCTGGCTTATTTCGTAGAATTTCGCGGAAGCACGTTAAAAGTTAATTATGCGACAGCAGACAGACAGAGGAGGAACTATGAACGGAGAACGACCGCTTAGAACGCGCGCAGAAAGTGAACTGAGAGATGTGCGGAGCGGCGACTGCCACAGCGGAGACAGCTGAGAACCCAGAGTCGAGAGCTTCAGGCGAAAACAGGGAGGGAAAAGCAAAAAGCAGAGAACCACAGCCAGCAGAGGGAAACAGCAACGTGCTTGCCAGCACAGTTACCTTAAGTTATGCCTTTGGATTCTATTTGTTTTTAAAACAGCTAAACTTTACACAGCTCCAAAAGCTTGAAAACTAAATTAAAGCGTAATTCATAGTACAGAAAACAAAATAAATTCCTTTAGATATATTTATAGTATTAAAATATTAAACCAAATTAATTGTTAGCTCCAATATAAAACTCCATCTTTAAAATGAATATTTAAATAAAAGAAAAATAATTACAAAAAAAATACTCTTGAAAAAAAATTAATTAAATACCCACGCATTTTTGCTGTGTGTACAAAAATATATCACAAAAATCGACAGCAGCTTACACGCTAACATCAGAATGAGAGAAGTCTTAATGACAGAACTTTTGAACTTGGCTTCGTCACTCCTAATCTCTAAAAAACAAACGAGTATATATACATGTATAAACAAATATACAAATAAATAAATATATATATATTCATATATGTATGAGGTTTTTTGAGGGCCCGCTCATTAGATTCGGCGGCAAATACCAAGGCCAAGCCGCAGTAGCAACTACAAAAACAAAGCCACGGCGCTTTTATTTCGATATACGACGTCATTCCTAACGAAGAAACCAACAAAAACAAAAAAAAAGAGACGAAACCAAAAACCAGACCAGACAACAATGAAAAAGCTAAAAACATGACGACACAGACATAAAAACTCTCTCAAACGCTGTAGCAGGAGTTAAGTAAGCACTACCAAGGCGCCACCTATTGAGCTATTTGACAACCCTGCAAAGCTGCAGTTGTACAAGCACTGTAAATTACTACAGTCTAACTTTAGTAGAAATTTAATTCAAAAAATGTTCACACATCTTCCGTATTGCAAAAACCCCTCTCGCTTGTATAAATTAATTTCCCAGCAAGTCATCACATTTGTTTATAAATATTACCCGCTGGCGAGTGTGACGTCAGCGGCCGAAAATACATTTGCTCTTGGTCGGGGTCAGAAAATTAGCAGCTGGCTAAAGTGGTATGTACCTATATCCCTAAAAGCGTATTAAGCAGATTTATTGGTCATTTCGGAAAAGACTTCAAAGAATGTGGAAATTTTTAAAGAAAATGTTAATGTTTATATCTCTCAAGTATAATAAATAAAAGAGGCTATGGATAAAAGCACAGTGCTTGCTAAACTTTATCGCGGACTCAAACCTATAGTGTAGAATGTAAAGTTTTTCCTACCTAAAGTCTTCAAAGCTGGGCAGTTTTTGTTTTTCTTAAGTTTAAATTATATAGAAATGAGTTTTGGAAGCCAAACCATGATTTAAAAAATATTAAAAAATCTTTTTTAAACCCTATTAGCTTTAAAAAATATATAAATTATAAGTTAACCCAAATACCCTTTCTCTTTGTGCCAGTTATATAAATAAATATAAAGTAAATATAAAGATACCATTTAAAAGACAGTTACTGCTGTAAAAGTGTAAATAAAATGCTTAAAACTAAAGAAATCTGTTTTTTAATAATTATTTTAGCCTCGTTCAGTTCGATCGAGCCGTGTGCAAACCATTACCGCTTCTGGATCGAGATCGATATTAGTGCTTGGATGAGAGCTCAATAGAAACTAAGTCAAAGAAATCTAAACAAGAGACACGGTTAAGGGATGACCGATTAATTAATTAATTTTGTTAAAACATTTGACAAAAGCACACACATTAGCATTAGCACTACATGGAGTTACATAGTTATAAAATCATGACAGAGTGACGAACGAAACAAAACACCAAAGTAAAACTAATCAACTAAACAACAGACAAACGCAAACGCTGATAATTATAACAATTTTAGTTTTGCTTTTGGTGTTTTCAAATTTTATTTTGCCAAAAATGATCAAAGAGAAACAAATATGCGCAAGAGAAAAAAATAAATGGAAGAACAGAAATAGAGTAAAATAAGATTATTTAAAATAATAATAATAAATACAAAACCGAATCGAACAGAGGATGGATGGACGACGTAAATTCGTAAATTCGATGCGAAATGCGTTTTGTCAAATGCAAAAACAAAATATTCTTCAAAGTCATACATTATATGCGTTTAAAGATCTAGTATTTGTACAGCGATCAAAGGCATCCGATAGTAATACATGCTTAAAGCTTTCATTCTCTTCTGGGCTCACAGCAGCCCCCGGAGGCCGCCAAAGAACCGCTCGAGGCGTCCGCCCACGGGCCGGTTTACCAAGTCGTAGAGGGATCTTAGCGTGCCCGCCAGGAACCTGTAGAGCGCAAAGTGCTCCAGCATGTTGCCCACGTCCAGCACGAACTCGATTACCCGCGCCACGAAGCGCGTAATGGGTGCACACTGGCACTCGGCCCTGGCCATCTGCAAAGGCGTCTCGAGCAGGGAACTGCCCGCCTCCACTGGAGCAGCAGCGGTGGCGGGTCGTGGTCTACGCCGTCGGCGGAGACCGCTGCTGGTCACCGACGCTGATACTGATGGCTTGCGCGATGGAGGTGGAGGCTGGAACTCACCTTTAGTCTGGCCAGCGCAGTGATTGGACAGCACGGTGCCGGGCGGGCCGCGGAGCACGGCCTCCAGGCAGCGTATGTTGTCGCGGCAAGTGTTGATGATCTCGTTCTGTTTGGGTAAGAAAATGAGCATAAAGTTGAGGCAAGCAGCGACTCATCTAAGACTTACATAATCCTCTGGCCTCAGCAGATGGCATCGGATCTTCAGGGCTCGGGTGTCATCCAGCCGATCGCGACTCTGCTGCAGCAGGGAGCGCATCTCCTGCTCCCCATCCTCGGAGTCAGAGCCACTCGAGGATGAAGTGGTGGCTGGAATTAGCTTGATGCACTTTTCCAGGTTGCGCGAGGAGCGTCTTCTTTCGTCAGCAGTCACAGTGCGTCGTCGCCGGGTGGAGGTGTCGCTCTCCGAGGTGCGACGTAACAGGGATTGGGCCGAGTGGCTCATCCCGCCAAACTCCAGTTTGCGACCCACGGACTCTGTCCGCTGGCCAAGGTGCTGTGTGGACTGGGTCTTGGGCGTGGTGGTCAGGGCCGTGACGGAGGCAGACAGCGAGGGCTGGGCCTGCAGTGGCTGCGACTTCTGCTCCTGCTGCAGCTCCTTTTGAGTGCATTCATCCATGTCTGTAAGGGGCACAAATATGTATTTTAGAATATGTTATAATCCTCTAGATTGTGGGCATCTCACCTTGACACGACTTGCGCCTGACCTCGAGCGTCTTGCGACGACGCTCGTACTGCAATTCAAGGGCCCGCTGGCGACGGGCGTGGTCCACGCTACTGCTGATCGTGTCCTGGTTGATGTGCAGGGGCTTCACCTCGTGCTTCTGCAACGAGTCCATGCGCGGCGGCGAGAACGAGTCCAGATTGTTGGCTGCCGACAGAGAACTGCAGCAGTCCGACTGCGAGTCGATGAAATTGCTGTGGGTCGCATAGGATTTTTGAGCAGTTATAAATAAATCTTGGCAAGGCCTCAAAGGTCGCATTCATCATTTTAAAAACAAAGACGCACGACACCACTCACCGATAGTCGTCGCCGAATTCCAAGAGACGACGGGCGGCATCGGAATCAAAGCCCTCGGAATAGTTCTCCGAGTTGTATTTCTCTTGGTAGTTGTCCCAGGCCGTCTCCGAGATGCTGCTGTGATGGTCCTCGGTGCTGAGTTCTGTGGGGGATTCAAATTCGAATTATTAGTTTTCAAGAGGGGCTTCTCTATGAGATATCCTAGGGTTATTTTTAGTGGGATTTTGTGGTGCTTAGGCAATACCTTTGAGCCTGGTTTGTGCCGGCTTTGGGGGTGCTTGTGTGTGAGAAAAACAGACATAGTAGAGACAGAGATCGAGTTCTAGAGTTCTAAGCCCCTCAAGGATCTTCCCACTCACCTGCTTGCTGCTCATCCTCGTTCATGTAGTTGGAGAGGGCGGCCAAAGCACCCAGGCGCGTCTCACTGGCCAGCAGACCGGCGGTGGTGAAGGATCCCACCCGGAACTTGGGCAGCATAAGCTGCGATTCCCCTGTCTCGCCCTCCGTCAAAATAGTTACACCAGCATGCTCTCCCCCCTTGGGACTCAAGGGAGCTATAACTGCTCCCTTCTGGATGCTCAGCAAAGCATTCGTAAACTCCTGCAGCTGCTGCGACGACATTGACTCGCAGGACTTCATCAGGGTCTGGGTGAGATCGCCACCCAGCTCGGAACCCGAGTCCGACTTCCTGGCCGAAATGCGCTTCTTCCTGGCCTTCCGCCGCCTCAGGGAGCCCTTGCTGTCCGCTTTCCTGGCTGCATTGCTTCCCGTTCCCGACGAAGAAGCAGCCCGAGGTCTGGGACCCGGCGAAAGCGAATCCAAGGCGCTCTCGCTGATCGAGTGGCTGGCCAGTCCCGGTGGCGAGTTCTCAACAATCCGCGTGGTGGTCATCTGGGCCGCATCCGTGGTCAGCTGGGACAGGCAGGAGACGGACCAAGGTCGCTCCGACTTGCGACGCGACTGAGGCCGCTTCACAATCTTCACATTCAGGCTCTGATTGCTACTCCCGAAGCCCAGAGGCGTCACGGGTTGGCCAATGGGTTCGGCCGATCCACCGATTCTCTCCGTGGAATTCCCATAGGAATTCGTGCTCGTTTGCATACAGGTGGCAATGGAATCGGTGAATCCCTCCGAGGTGTCCGACCCGGCAGCTCCTCCCGTCGCTCCTCCAACAGCTGGGGTCTGGGGCACCGAGTCCGTTTCGGAAGCCTCGCCGGAGGCTTCGCAGTCATCGGGCTTGCTGCCCGGCAGGAGTTCGTGCGTGTGGCTGCGGGTCAGCAGCTGGGGTGTCGAAGGCTGGTGCTCTAGCCATTCCTGGGGGGCAAAAGGGGGATTAATTAGAGGGATAAATATTATTCCCTTTGAAAATGTTCACAATGCCGCATGAGCTCTTAGTCATGGATATTTTTGCATAATGTTTATAGGATATTAAGGTTAGTTAAGGCAAAGGACTTACCTCCACCCTTTGCTTGATGGGATGCGGCATGGTGACCTCTCGCTTCTTCACCGTCGACGAGATCTTAATGATGGAATGTTTCTGCTTCGTTGGCGTCTTCAGAGCCGCTTCTTGGGCGTCGCGCACCAAATGCTCTGCCTCCAGTACCAACTGCTTGATTGAATCATGCGAGACCTTGCCCTGGGAGGGAGAGGAAAGAGTGCGGTGAAAATGGAGAAAATGTAAAGTGAGAAACTGAGAAACTGAGAAACTGTTGGCGGAGTGAAAGAGCGGAACTTAATGAGCGTGCCGAATCGGTATCGTAGTCTGAAGTCATAAAGTTGTGACTAAGCCTACAGTAAAACTTCGCTGAAAAGAATTGTTTCTTTTTATGACTATATTTTCTAATTAATTTCCTAGTTATTTAAAACAAATATACAAGACTTTAGAGCAAGTTTTCTATATATTCTATTTAAACTACAGATGTTACCCCTTAAAACCAGCTCGTCTTAGCCAAGTTCCACTGTTGCCTGAATAGGAAATGCATCTCGCTCTCTCTCCATTCTTATCAGTGAGGGGTGTATGTTTTCCCTTATCGCTGGGCACTCTCTCATTCTCCCAGCTCTGCCGCCTTTTATCGCAATTTGTCACCCATTTCCAGTGCACTTCAACGTCATAACTGTCGAGTGGATTTGAATGGATTGCCTGGGAGCGGGATCAAGTGGAGTGGAGTGCCCAGGATGGGGGCAGTAAAGTGGAGTAAATATAGTACATAGAGTACATACATAGAAACACTCTAGTTCTTATCTTGTGCACTTCTGTTTATTTTGCTCACCCACTCACTGACTGTTATTATTTTTGCACAATTTTTTTTTAACACTCATCAATCAGGTAGTTGGTTGCTCACAAGGCAGGATGTTGACAAAAGAAATTATTTTCAGGGACTATTACTTACTTATATCTTTTAGGCAGAAATTTGAGTTGAGTGACTAGAGCTTGTGTGGACAATAAACTAAACTGATAAGGCTTCTCTATATTACCCATTATTCTATCTGTGACCTGTAAAGCCCTACCAAAAATGGGCTTTCTTATGTAGGCTAAAAACCTTATAAAGAAACTATGTGCTTTGGTGGTTTGGAAGGGATCGATCCTCCGCTTTAAATGATAATTCGACAAAATTAGATCTTTGGGTAAACAAAAGAAATTATTTTAAAGAATTAATACTTGTATATTTTAGGCAGAAATTTAAGATGAGTAACTACAGTAAAACTAACCTGATTGGCTTCTCTATATAAGCAATTATTCTATCTTCGACCCTACCAAAAAGGTACAACCTTATGGAGTCAAAAACCTTATAGGGAAGCTACGCGCTTTGGTGGTTTCCAACTATCAAGGGGGAGGAGACTCTCCGCTTTAAATGATAATTCGACAAAATTAGATCTTTGGGTAAACATACTTTCTCGCTCTTGTCTCTGAATACCTACTCCTCCACCTCCTCCTCCTAATTAATCAATCAATCACTGAAGCGTGGCTAATTATTCCTCTACAATTACAATATCTTTTTGTCTTTTTTTGGGGCTTACTCTGGTCAATTGAACAATTTGAAGGCTTTACTTTTCGTCTAGCTGAGCTGTGACAGATGTCGCGCACTGTCTGCCGCGTATCTTTGCATCTTTCACCGACTCTCAGCTGTCTTTATCACTTCTCTTTTTTGTTCGAAAACGCGCTCTGGCCGTCACTGAATGGTTAATCTTTGGTTTAATTTAATTAACAACTTCCTGCGGCAACGGCGGAGGCACGCGATCGGAGGCGAGGCCAGGTTTGGCAGCCACTGGCCAAACGGAAACAATTTTCTAATGCTTTTACTTTGTGAGCGCTCGCAGTTTGCAGTTTGCAGATTGCAGCTTGGCTGTTTACAGTTGCGATTGGGCGTTTGCGATAATTAAAGGCAATTATTAATACGAGTGCGGACGCGCCGGGATGCCAATTAAGGCCCAAAACTGGAAAGTGCAGCCTCCAGATACAGATACACACGCATTTAGATACAGATACAACTAAAGCAGTGGCAGTGCTTCGCAAACTGTCAACGCTACAGAAGACTTGGTGACTTTCTGACTTTAATTTATGTTTTTTACTCGCACGCAACGATGAATTTTTTTGTTGCCAAAATCTAATCGCGTTAATTTTTATTTTCGGGCAGGGAAATTCAGGTCAACTGGCGATAGACCACTATTTTATACGGTTTAAATTCTATTATTTTAACCTCACTTTTAATGCTTTGTCGGAGCCATTCCATTGATTTGAATGCGCGCTTGTTTTATTAACAGCAACTATTACAGGTAATTAATTTCGATTCAAGTGATTTTTTCGATTTTATCGCAATTTGGCACTGCCGTAGATCATTGGTGTTTCACTCTGGCTAACTTATTGCATTTTACCGTTTTTAATGAGCTTTTCAGCCTGTATTCTCTATTTATTTAATGCAAATTTCACAAGCACTTTGAACACATTTCGCTCTCCCTCTATTGTTGTTTTAACAATTGTTTGTCGGTTGGCTAGCTATTATTTTTTTTTTATTCACTGTTTGCCTTTGCCTTTTGCCATTATCTTGGCAAGTCCGCTCCCCGATTTCTGGTCCGTCCGTCGGCCTCAGCGTTGCGAATCCAACTGAGTAGTGGAGGGGCTAACGCTCTGGAGTGCACCAACACTCTGCCTCTGCCGGCTGTGGCTATAGGTATAGTCGTCAGTCGTCGGGCTGTCAGATTGCTCAGAGGCACAACGGTGGCCATAAAGCGAATTAAAATAAACTGTCGAATCGCAATGCGTTTGATAATAGCTCTCAGGGGGGGGTGGGTGTTAAGGGGTGGACGGACAGGCTGATAAGATAATATACTCCGCAAATCGATTTGAAATCGGAGTCAGCGAGAGAGGAGCGAATTGATTTCTATTTCATTATTATTTTCCTTTCTATTTTCCATTCAAGCTACATACGTTTTGTTAGCTTTCATTCGTATCTTTGCTAAACACTTTAATTTGCAACTGAATAAAAATCATTTGTGTCTGCCGATAAGATAATAGTGGGTGTTTTTATAGGTAGGGTTGGGTGTATATTATACACCAGGGATTATTTAAACTTGATTTTCTGTTATATACACATTAATAAAATAATAATATGGACAACTGTTTTTTACTTTGATTGGACTAAAAAATGATCGAACAATAAATAAATAAAAAGATATAATTTTAAAAACCTTTTAAAGTTGAACTAATTAATATATCTTTCCTTATCCGTTATTTGTTATGACGGTTATTTTTTATTTACTTTTTGGCTTTATTGGTAGCATTTCTTTGCTTTAAAATGGAAATTCATAAAACTCATGTGCGATTATCTTATCGATAAATGATAAATGCACTTGTCTATCAGTTTTTAATGTCTGCGATTTATTTATTGGGGCTTTCTGGAGCGTCACTCTTAAATGTCGTTTGTTTCTTTGAAAGCCTATCACTATTTGCCAGACTTTTAATTTGCGATTCAAAACAAAAAGCATGCGTGTTCGTCGATAAGATATATGTATATACATATATAATTTAACTCACAGTGCGATTTTAATGCAAGAGTTATTTTTATATATTTTGAGCGACGTCATGCCGCTTTTCGTTATCGTTGAAATCAGTTTTTGGTTGCGTCGACTTGATATATGGGTTTGCTTTTATTTTTTTTCGGAGGGGTTCAGTGTCTCAGGATCGAGTTTGCGAAAATGTAAAATTTGTCAAAATTAATCAAAGCTACGCGGGATTTCACTCTCAATAAATCAGCGAATGCGCGCATGCGTAGCAGCTTTTTGGTTAGGGAAAACCACTGCCTGCCCTCGGCCTGGAGGAAAATTACAGTGAAAATTGCGTGCGACAACTGCCGCTGCTGCTGCTACGAAATGCAAATGAAACTGCGAAAATGCACAAACATGTTCCGTCCAAGGAAAGTGAGAGTGAGTGCCAGACACTCGCTGCCCAGGGAGACGTTGATAGGCGGCGACAAATGATGGGAGTACCGCGGAGGAGAAGGAGACCACTGATGTGCACTCCTCTCTTGGCTGCCGGTTTCCCACACCTCCACATCCCACCAGAGCTCGCATTACACTCGATTACGCTCAGCAAGTTGTCAGAGTCGCATGTTTTACCACCGCTTTTACACGCACAAAAAGGCGACCACAAAAATCCCAGTTGGGAGAAATTCGATGCGACGCACGCAAACAGCTAAATCAAATGGAAGTGGAAGTGGAACTGGGAGTGGACCACCAGCAAAGATCGATTAGAGTTAGGCCAACGATCGATAAAGGGGTCTACCAATCGATTAAAAAGGGGAATAATAAGAACTACAGTTCATTACAGATCTTTCAAGTGAAACCCTTTTGAAAAAAGAAAGCTTTATTGCCTTGCCCTAAAAAGGTTAACAAAAACTACGAAAACTCTCCAAGAAATTGAGTTGAAAATGTAACAAGAACTCTAGACTGAATAAAAATATTTATTAATTAAATAAGTAATGAAGTTCCTCCACATTCTCATTGCTCTTGAAGTCTTTTAAAAATCCACAAGTCAAAAAAGGTAGTCCCAACCATTAATCAATCATTCTCTTAGTCCAAAAAGCCGTACTTCCTTCTAATAAAAAAATAACCTCTCAATTTCTCTATTTCGAAGGAAGTGCAACTTCCTTCTTCTTCTCTGTATGATCTCAATATGTTACAACTTACCTTGGCGGGCGATGCGGACATGGTGGCATTGCTGCTGCTGGCCTGGGACTTGGCCGACTTGGCCGGTGATCTGGGAGGCAAGTGGCAACTGGTTACAGTTTCTGCTGGCCAAACGCTGATATTGCAGATGTCCGCACGGCTATAAAAGCTGTTGTTCATCTAAGGAGAAAAAAGAAGAGAAGAACACATTCAATATTTTATGTAGAGTAAATACCATTTTAAAATAAGATGTTTAATCATTAATCCCAAAGTCCCCCTTGTCCTTTTCAATTGTTTCACTTCATTTCGCGTCACGTCGAGCTTTCGGCTCGGGCTTCTTTTCATTTGCCTTCAATGAAGAAATAAATCACACGTTTTCCAAGTTAATTTCGTACTTTCCCATTTTTGACGTGCTCCGCGGCGATCGTTTTTCCTGGACCACGACATCATGTCATGTCTCTGGCGGTAGTCATCGATCGAGAGCCTAAGACTCTGGCTCAAGCTCAGGTTTAGGTTCAGGCTCACTGTTCCCGCCAGTCTCTAGTCCCGAATCCGTGGTCTCAATCTCGAGGTTCACCTGGTAGTCAGTCCCGTTGCGAGCGACAGGAGTAGTCGGTGCATGATTCGCTTTCATTAACCCAACTGCTTAATCATCCGGCGAGGTTTTCCATTTATTGAAAATGCCTCCTTCCAAGCCAGATCCCTCGCTCGACCTGCTCTCGACCAACTCCTTGGCTCGGAATTACGGCAAACAAAACGCTTTTATTGACACAAGTCACAGACATGGCCACTAGACTTGAGCACTTGGCACTTGACTGACTGTGGGAACTTGTCTCGAACGAGGAACGGACTTCAGCCAGTCAGTGCTCCACAAATGGCGGCGACTTCGATTTTGAAGTGGATCTGATCGCGTTGGTTCCTCGGAGAGACAGCCAAGGGATGCCTCTCAATATAAGACTTTTTAGAGGTTCTATTGATTTCTGTGTTTCAAGTGATCTTTTCCTTCTCCTTGCTAATATTTATCTTATTCATTATAAATATTCCCTGGTAAACCCTCTAATTCCCTACCATTTGCTGTAAACCCACACTCACCTGCTGCAATTTGCTGAGATTTCCATTTGCCATATCAACAGTTGTCTCATCGACGCCCAGATCCTCTCCAGCCTCGCCCTCGTTGTTGTTTTGCTGCTGCTGCTGCTTGCTGCTGTAGCAATTGTTGTTGCTAATGATGTGTCTGGTGGTGTTGGTGCCATCGCTGGCGTTGCCATTGCCATTGATTTGGAACTCCATCTCGGCTTCCATCTGCGAGTGTATCTGCATCTGCAGCTGAGTGACTCGCGAGGTGGCCGATGTCTCGGTGTGCCTGCCGTTGGAGTTGGAATTGGAGTTCGAGGAGGAGCAGGCGCTGCTGCTGTCGTAGTTGCTGCTAGTTGCGGTTGTTGCTGCTGCTGTAATGGTCGTAGTGGTGACTCCGCCAGACTCCTTGTTCTCCTTATCCGAGTCGTCGCTGGGCGGTAGCTTTCCAACCGTGGTAACTGTGGTCGAGGAAATGGCCGTCGACTGCAGACCATCTACAATGGATATGCCCGATGTTGTTCCTGTTGCAACTTCCAATGTTGCTGCTGTAGCTGTTGCTGCTGCTGTTGTCGCCGTGTAGAGCCAACCCTCGTCGTCGTCATCCGTTGAGGCATCAGCCGATTTCAGTATCTAATATGGGAGGAAAGTCCCAGAGAGAGAGAGGGGGAAGAGAAAAACGAAATGCAACATTAAAGTCAGTGGTAACAAAATTCGCTAAAAGGAAAACCCAACGGCGGAGGAAACTCCGATGAAGATGAAGTGGTAGAAAATGAAGTTTAATTAGCGTTACTTGCGCAAAATGGCAAATTGTTGGGCTTGCAACTCCAAGTTGCTGCTGCTGCTGCACATGAGCAACAACATCTTTGAAGCCCCGACAGCAACGCCTTCTCTATGACTTCTCTTTCCCATTTCCATTCCCCCGGACTGGTCTTTGTCTTTCTGCTGGCAATTTATTTCCATTTCGAATGGTGACGACCTCAGCAGTTGTCAAATGTGGGAGGAAGAGTGAAGAATTGCTGGAGGAGGAGTGCAGAATTCTTCGCAGAAGGTGGAGTTGGAGTTGAAGATGAAGTTGGAGAAGAAGTCACAGACAGGCAAACAAACAAATTAAGTCTGAATGTTGTCGAGTTAAGAAGAAGTAGGGAGATCGACGTCTCGAAGGAATTCTTCTCTCAGTCCCAGTTCTTGAAATCGATGACTTTGGGAATCTTCTTGATACCAACTCAATTTACAGAGCTCTGGCTTAAGTCTTTATATAGTTTTGGGGTTTTTTCCTTCTTGAAAGGGACACAATACAAATTATTTCTGATTATGTATGGCAGCAAATATCAATAAGATATTGTAACATACAAATAATATCGATCGAGATTTAACGTTAAATGTGATATTTTAAGACATTTTCTATACTATTTTTATACATTATAAATTATGTGAGTTTTCCTCTCTTTTTGAAAAATATTGCCTTAAATAGCTTTTGCTTTACTTTTTCCTATTTTTCCTTCACTTCTTTAAAGTATTTATTAAATTTAGTTTCTTCTGTGATAAATGATTAATGATCTAGTTGCTGATGGTGATGTTTTAGTTAATGATGAAGACTACCGAATAATGGAATACAAAAGTTAATTATGAAGTTGTTAGGCATGCCAAAGAAACTATCAATACAATATAGATATATGTATGTATATATATGGTTAAAAATATTTTGGTGAGTAGATTTAGTTAGGTTACAATACAGCGAAATAGCAAGCCATCATGCTAATTAGTTGGCCAGAAAATACTCAGGGAGAAGAGAGGAGAGACGGATTCCCAACTTGGCATTGATGAGCGTGACCCCGACACCTTTTGAGGTTCCGATGGTTCCGAGCGTGGAACGAATCGTGGCCCGATGATGATTCGACGACGACCCGTAACCAAGAGAGAGAGAGACTGAAATCGGTACTTACGTCGCCGCCAGCTCCTCGCCGACGGATCAGGCAGGGATCCTCCTCGCTCTGGAGGTCACTGCCCGCCGCATTGCCCTGCTCGTTGTCTGTGTCCAAGTGCTTGAAGTAGAAGATGGCGCAGTTCTTGGACTTGCGATTTGAGCGGTTAAACTTAGAGGTGTCGTTGTGGTGATGACGCGTCTTCCTCAGTCCAAGCGGCGACTTGTTTAGCTCGTGGGCGCCGAGTCCTCCATAACCATGACCATGACTGGTGTTCCCACTGGTGTGCGAATTGGGCGTAATCACGGCCACGGCAATGTTCTTGTTGTGCATCTTGTTGCCCAGGCTGTGGTGGTGACGCTGCTGCAGCAGGGCACTAGTGCTGCTGCTGCTGCAGTCGCCCTTGATGACATTGCCGTTCTGTGGCATCTCGGCTAGGTTCAGATTCAGGACCCTTCGGACACCGGTCGCTATCAGCGGCAATCCCCGCCTGCTCAGCTGCTGCACCTGCTCAAAGTCACTGCTCTCCGAGTCCGCCTCGAAGTCGGTCAGTGTGGCCGCTGCACTGGGACTGGCCTGGTGGTAATGGTGATTCCACGATCGCTTGGCGATCAGAAAGTCCACCACATCGGTGCCCAGCAGATCGTCCTCTTCGTCCTCTTCCTCTAGCTCCTCGTCGGCCTCATCGCCAGGCTGAATATGCAAGTCAAGGGAGGGAGTCAAGGAGTGTTTGGTTGTTTGTTATTGGGTCAGGAGAACATGGGGTTCACACGCACACGCACACAAATTTTGAACATTTCATGCTCTGCCCGTAGAGTGATGCCAACTTTGGGGTTCTGGCTTGGTAAGGAGTGCAAGGGAATAGTGCCAAAAAAGTGATGATAATTTTGGGGGATTTCCTAGTCCTTGGGACTCTTCAGGATTTAGCTCTAGGGAGATAGGTCGTCATTCTATTCTTCTGTTGGTTATTCTTCATATTTTAAACAATTTCAAGCGGTAGAATTTTCTTTTAAATATATTTCTTGCTTGGTCTAAGCTTCCTTATCCATTTTTAGAAGATTTATTTTTATAAATTTAATACAAGTTCTACAATTTGATTCCCCAAAATCTTGTTATTTTATTCTCTTGCTTCTGTCTCAAAATGATGACCAAAAAAGTTGGCCACATCATTTGCTAAGTATTCTGTTCTGCCGTTTATGGTTAGCCTCTGCTGGGTTAACGTTTCTCTTGGGTTTCTTCTGCAACTCGGGGTTAGCTGGAGCTGGGGGTTAGGTGGGGTCAGGCCAAAAAGTTGACAATACTGTGGGAGGAGGCATGCAACTAAGCTAACATCGCAACAACGACAAGTCAAAAAAACAAACAAACAAACAGCAACTACATACAACGTACGGAGGAATATGCAAATCATTTGGATTTGGCTTCGGATTCAAATTCGGCGGCCAGACTTACCTTTTGAGGTGCAAGACAATCGCGTGGCTGATCCGCTGACAGAGACTCCGACTCCGCTTGGGACTTGTTCTGGGACTCCTCCTCCTCCCCGTCCAGGCCACAGACGATCTGAGTGGCTGCTATCTGGCAGCGCTGCAGGATCTGCTCCGACTTGGATTCACCGACCGGCAGGCTGTTCTCCAGCTCCAGATCCGAGTTGACCTCGTTCAGATCGTCCTCGGTGGCTTCGCCCTCGTAGCCAAAGGAATCGTCTTCGGTGTCCTCCTCTTCTTCGTCGTCATCCAAGCCGTTCTGCAAGAAAACAAAGGTGGAAAATACATCTTAGATAAGGTCTCTCTCTTGGTTTTCAGTTTCATATAGCTGTGAATATGAGCCTCGATTTTTAATTGGCCAACACTTAATATCACTGGAGTGATCTTGATGTCGGCCTGGGAAAGTCCGGTCTCCTTTTCATTTGCTCTTCCTGCTTCCATCACGTAACTCCACTTCCTCCACACATGCCGGCTAAAATTATAATTGCTTTCAATTGTCGACACACGAAGCTCTCGTCTCCGATCAGCGGGTGGACTTGGACATGGACACAGACGTAGACAGACAGACGGGGAGACAAATGGACAAACACTTGGCCAGACAGATGTCAGATATCCCAAGAGGCGAGAAAAACTTTTGTTTTCATACCCTACCCGAGTATTAAGATTTTTGGGGGGACTCTAAGCAACATAATAACCCAAGAAATCATACAAATCAAGCAGAAAGATATTCAACTATTAAATAAATAAGAAGTAAAAGAGTTTTTCAGATGAAACCTACCTGTACAAATAAGAAAAATCAAGTCAATCATATTTATTTATTAATTACTAACCACCTCTGATTGTTAGAGTATTCAAGTCTCGATTTTCCTTGCCTTTTCTTTCTTCTTAAAAAATTTTCCTTTTCTCGTGTTTCCGCCCACACAAGTAAGAGGCGTTCGTGGGGCGGCTGAAAAGAAGGCCTTGGTGGCTTTTCATAAAATGTTTTGCTCTTTACAAGAACTGTTAAGGAAAGGCCAACCTCAAGTGACCTTGGTCCATCTCCGCACCGAATTACACTCTGCCAGCAATGTTTTCTTAGCACTCTATAAAATAAAACTAACGAAATTCCACAATTAACCCGCGAGACCCCACCCCTTTGACGATCAGCAATCAGCCGGGGAATGAGAATGGCTTTTATGGCCATCAGATGCTTTAGCTGGGCAATTTAGTGCTTGTTTTTGCTTTTCGCCTTCTCGGATTTGCATAATTTTTTTAATTTTGTTCATTCAAACACATTCCACTGGAGGCCACCACTCGCCGAAGGTCGCGCTAAACATCCAAAGCAGCTTGTTCTTCAAAGATGTATCCACAAGATTACGTAGAGCTAATTGTCCAGATGATTTATGGCCGAGGATGGTGCTCTCACCTCTTAAATGGCGCCTTTTCGATTGTTTGTGTTTATGGTAAACAGAGGAGCTCCTGAGCTTTCAAGGGGAAAACTGTGTAAATGGACCAAGTGTTGTAAATAAACAGGGAAGTAAAAGGGGGACGAGTCAGCCATCAAGAGTGACGGCAGGTAAACAACAAACAAAGAGCTGGACTGGCAAAAAGGTCTTCCCTGACTGGCAGATCTTTCATAACAAAATGGGAAAATCATTATAATTTGTTTCGAAACAAATCGTATCTGTTTTTGATCAAAGAATCTGTTTATTACACACTAATTTGTATCTTTCCATATCAATATCATGGCATCTCCGATATTTTTTCCTTTTCTCCTTCACCTGATCTGGTTTCTATGCTTTCTCCCAATTAGCATAACACCCGCATTTGGTGATGCAATCTCTGATTTCCTCCAACTTCTTATCCGTATCTCTGTTCACGCTTTCATCTCAATCTGGTTAAGCCCTCAACTTAAGTAAATGGAAAATAAATTAAGTGGAAAACTCCGTTGACAAACGGTACACGAAAGAAGAAACTGATTTAGGAAATCTCCAAATAATCTTGTTAGGCTTTTCGGTTTAAAGAATCACAGTCTAGACTACCCACAGTGTGTGATTTATGTTATTATTATGCCAGAATATTTAAAGGTAATGGAAAAGACTTCAAGATTTCTCTCTCCTTCCCCAGAGTGCCTCCATTTAGCTGGAAATTAAGTTCAAGGGAAGAACGTGTCGTGCCAGTCGCTTAGCACCTCATTTACACCAGAGAGTGTGTTCTCCAGGAACTGCCATTTCCATTCCCATTCCGATACCGATCTCAACACGCAATCCCCAGCTATGTCACAATTTTGTTGTCACTGCAGCAACGATAAACTGGAGCGATAACAATCGATATATCTTGTCTTGACTAAATTGTGTGGGAAATTTTCTTAAACAATTGCCACTGTCTTTGAACCGTGTTTGAAATTATGAATTTCTCACACGCCGGCGATTAATTATTGTTAAACGCTGGCTATCGTCGATATCGGGTTTTTAAGAAGCGGAGTGAGAGGGGTGGAGAGTCTTCATTAGCATGTGCTTGTACGAGTATAAGACTGTAATTATCATGCAATAAAAACGTGAGTTGCATTCGTCGTCGGCGTTCAACATCTATTTTTTATACCCTTGCAGGGTATTATAATTTCAGTCAGAGACTAGTAACGCATTGAAGGAGTCATTTCCGACCCTATAAACCATATATATTTTTGATCAGCATCAACAGGCGAATCTATCTAGCCATGTCCGGAAAGAAAAAATTTTTTGTTCATTTTTTCAAAAATTGGTAAGGGGTTACATCATTAAAATTCTCAAAAATCGACCCAAAATTCGATTTTTTTAAATTTAAAATTTAATATGCAGATTTCTTAAGCTAGAAAAAACTAGCATAGAAATGCTTACAGAATTGATTTTGATGCTTTTTTGGCTTAGTTATGATATTTTTAGACTTTGATTTTTCCAAAAATTTTCATAAAAAATATGGAAAATATCCTTTTAAAAATAATTAATATTTCCGGTCTTCCTAAAAGGAAAATATGATTTTATTAAGTGAAGCAATCATTTGCGACCCTATAAACCATATATATTCTTGATCAGCATAAACAGGCGATTCTTTCTAGCCATGTCCGGAAAGGAAAATTTTTTTGTTCATTTTTTCAGAAATTTTTAAGGGGTTACATCATTAAAATTCTCAAAATTCGACCTAAAATTCGATTTCTTTAAATTTAAAATTTAATATGCAGATTTCTTAAGCTAGAAAAAACTAGCATAGAAATGTTTACAGAATTGATTTTAATGCTTTTTTGGCTTAGTTATGATATTTTTAATTTTCGTTAAGCTAAGCTATAATTTCGCAACAATTACTCAATTCGCCACAAAACATTTAATGAATTTTAATCCAGCGGCGACAGACGCCACAGAGCACCAGCAATAACCTCACATAAAACAAAGCTAAAAACTGGAAAAAACTCTCCAATGGCGCGACAAAACTGCAGACACAACATCGCCAACAACTACACCAACAAATGTATAGCATTAACAAACAACATTAGGCAACAACATGAGAGCGTTGACAACCCGCAGTAGAGCAACAACAACAACGAGTAAGCTGAGTAAGCAACAACATGAGCAGCATGAAAAACTTCCACGTCATATGGAAAACGGGCAAACATGCAGCCAGAGAGTTTTCCATACGAAAGATTTTCCCTCACACAGCCACCCCCTCAACAAAAACAAAAACAATCCACAACAGCGACAATATTATTACTTTCATTGTTGTTGTGTGGTTGTTGCTGGTGGTGCTGCCAGTTGCTAGTTGCTGGTTGCTGCTCGCTAGTTGCTGGCAAACATTTCCTGGTACAGCGACGACGTCCACAATTTAGCTCAACTATTACAAATCGCATTAGATGCTAAATTTAGCAAGAGAGAGCACAAGAAATGCAGACATTGCAACTGCAACAGGCCGCAGTTTGCATATTTCCACCTCGGACATCTGCCGATACTGTGGCTGTTGCTCGGTGTTCTGACCCTAATCGGGGGACACTCCACTCCGGGGCTCTATTTACCCGACCGATCTCGGCGTGGGAGTGGGTGTTGCTGTTGCCCACGCGCTGCCAGTCCCCACACGCAAAGCAGAAGAGATGCTAATGCCCGATTCTTGGGCCACGCAATTGCTTATAATTTGCAGGTTGCTTTTCATGCTTTTTAGCTGGAGATAGGAAGTAGTCCTCCTAATAATTTTCAGCTCAGACTTGAAGAGATCAACAACATTTTCCCGAGTAAAGTAAACCCCACAAGAAAGGTGTTGCCTGTATAATAAACATGAAATATTGACACTTGGACGCGAATCAAAGAGGAATCAGAGGCTGAAAACAAAGCCAGTTAAACAACAAAAGTCGCAAGTTGACATTTGGCAAATGTCAGTTGCAGTTTGCATTTACAGACAACACAATAAATAGCATTTGAAGATGTCGCAGTTGCGCCACACGACACCAGCATCCCATAGAGTTTGCTCTCGTTTGTTTGAATTTCGGGAATCCCCCCTTTCGTTGCGGTAATTTCTCATAGTTCGATCTACATTGGGATCTGGCCAGCGTTTAACCAACAGCTGCTGGCAATTTGCTTTTGTTTCTGCCACATTGTGTTATTCTTGGCTTTTCTTTATGGCTTTTCCGACCATAAATCAATGGCCCGAATCCAGCCCAGAAATCAAGGCAGCAATAGCTCCAATCTCAGCCGCGATAATACGATACACCTCTTAGATGGAGCCGTAGCCGTAGCTGGCATAAAATAATGAACCATTCAAGTGGCTGTTCGATCATTAGTCGGGGTAATTGAAAAGCCCGGGGAAAAGCGAACCAAGAAACCCCAAGGAATACGGAGCGCCAATCATTATCTGAGCCAGAAACTAGACCAGCTAACGGTTGGCGTTGCACACGTATTATAAAACCATTTTTCTCTGAGCCACCCAATTTCGTTTTTTACATTCGTTGCGGTGTTGTTGCAGGCCAACTTTTTGCCAAGATCAAGCAGCTAATTACATTTTGGCCAATGAAAGTGAGACTGAGACTTTTTTTGCCATAAAATCCCCATTGTTTTCTTCCGTATTTACTCTTCGGGGGTGTGTCAAGGCTTATATTTTACATAATTATTGTGATTTAATTTGCACTGCTTTCCGGGACATGCAACGTGTGCAGCGCGCAACCTGCAACTAGCCACTTGCAACATGTGTAAGCCATCAACATTCGGGGTATGCATATTAAATGGCAGTTCCGATTCGATTCCGACGTGACTGCCAGCTAAATGGCCAAAAGCCACTCCCCACCGCCCCCTCCATTATTATTATGCGATTTGCATTCACTCATTCGAAAGCCTCGTTTTCGAGTAAAAACAAAAAAAGGAAAAACGAAATTTGCATTTCGATTGATCGGTTTCTTGTGCTTTTTGGGTGTGGACCTGCGGGCTGGTAGCCAGTCTGCAGATTGATTTATGTCGGTCTCTGATTGATGTCGATGATGACGAGGGGTCGCCCAATTAAATTCATAAATAGTTGTTAACAAAAAATTCCACTTTGATGGAAGCTAATTGGCGGCGTTACCAACTAGTAACATTAGAAAAATGATGACAGCTCCCTCAAGGTTTTAACTTGACTCGATTTCCTCCTTCCATTATTCTCCCACAGAATTCAGAGATCTCAAGACGTTTCCCTTTCAGCCGACAGATGCTTCCCAGCCTCCGCCAAAGTTCAACCTTCAACCCGCTGACGAGCAAAGGTCTCTCTCTGGTTTCTGGTCTGCTAAACAAATACAATTTCCCAAGAATAAACAACGCGATTCCAAGGCGAGAGGAGGTCGAGTCGCGCGATATAATAACAATAATCATCGCCATAATGGGGCATAATTCAATGCAATTCAACTGCATTTGTTTATCGAACTTGTTGCGGCGGCTGCCAGTTGCAACATGTTGCCTGCTTCACTTTTTTATGTGTGTGGGAAACATCGCGGTGAGGCTGGGAAGATAAAGATGCAACAAAGGAAATGAAACTAAAAGCAACTAAGAAAAGTCTGGGTAGGTATACCCTTTCAACTTTACTAGAGAAAATATAAAATAAATAAGATGCGTTACTTGGGACTTTCCACAATATTTCAAGAGAGCCCACTCTTGACCCTCAAAAAAATACAATTAAAATATGTAATTTCTTATTCTGTAGAAATTAAATAATATTCAAAATATTGTATAAATAATTCCCTCTCTTAGGGTATTCAATAGGTCCCTCAATCAGCTTCCTAGCCTTACGCATCCTTTCATCCTGGTGTTGCCATGATTATTTCCAAAGGCACGTCGTAAATTTGATTTGGTTTATTTCCATTTGGCCCTGCTTTCTGCGCATTTCGGTCACTTTCATTCGGTTTCGGTGCTGATTCCGTGGCTGATTTCAGAGTTTACTGTCTTGCCGTTGACTTTTGTGAACTCCCAGAGCTCCTTCATGATACCACCTCCTCCTCCGCCTTCTCCTTCACCCGTTGAGGGCGCATAAATTTTACTTTTACTTTTTGCAGTTTTGATTTTAATATTACCTTAGATATAAATACATTTTTTATGGCAGCTACTTTAAGCTTAACCCCAAAGCAGCTGATGAATACGCGGAAGAGGGGTGAATTTTCACGGCGGGTGCAAAACCCATTCAGAGCGAAGCCGTGAGTTTATTACGAAATTTTTGGTAAACAGTGCTCTGCACTTGAAGAAAAAATAATTATAGATTGGGTTCTCTAAATAGAAGCTTCAATTTTATGATTTTATATAGGTAATTTCCCCTAAAAATGTCTAAAAATTTCCTAAGGACTTTTGTAAGCTGTTTGGCTCTCTTTTTAAAAACCTGTACATTTTTAAATTTATTTCTCCCAGTGCATACACTTGTGACATATCCGTCTGGCCCTCGTCCGATTCGCTATTTTGTTTTTATAGTCGCCGTCGCCAATTTTATGATTTTATATAGGTAATTTCCCCTAAAAATGTCTAAAAATTTCCTAAGGACTTTTGTAAGCTGTTTGGCTCTCTTTTTAAAAACCTGTACATTTTTAAATTTATTTCTCCCAGTGCATACACTTGTGACATATCCGTCTGGCCCTCGTCCGATTCGCTATTTTGTTTTTATAGTCGCCGTCGCCATTGCCGCCTTCGTTTGAAGTCTCAGCCCGATCTCGGCCCGAATGGAGCAGCAGCTAATCTCCGCTTGGCCAGAAATTGGATGCCTGGCCAAAATGTGGAGCAGCTAATGCCGCCCGCGGCTACCCGCACAGCTCCCCTCCCCAGATGATGGCTAAATGTGGCCAGGAAAGTGTTGAAAATTGCCAACTGGATCGGCCCACATACACAGATTAGCCATGGAGCGATCCCGCGGGGGATGCAAATTATTGCATCAGCAGCAGCGAGCGGCGGTGCTGGAAAATGAAATTGTTTCAACGGCAACGAGGAAAATCGGAAAATCTTAAAGGGGGAGGCCGTGGCGGGAAAAGGTGGATAAAAGCCTGCCCGAGGCGAATCGGTTCACTGCAGAGAAAAAAAGGTTAACTTGCTCCACAGCCGGCGGTCCTCCCATAGAGGGAGGGAGGTACGAAGAGTAGCTCTCCGATCAGGAGGAGACTTCTTAGGCAGTGCGTGCCTCAAGTGAATTACTTCTGCAAATTACCCGCAATTAAGAGGGGAGCATATGGAAAACGCTTTCCAATTACCAGGCGAGGGGAGCCAACAGAGAGAACTTTAACCAGGAAGCGTTTAGAGCTCCGAGGAGCAACCGCAGCTCCGCAGGAAACTGGGTCATTGTGCCTATGAGACGGAATTGACTTTCACTTTATATCTAGACACGAGGCGGATGCCAGAAGAGGAACAGAATGATCAGTAAATGAGGAGGATAGAATGTAAGTGGGGGTTAGCTCAGGCAAAGTCAAAGCCTAACATCTCTTTTTAACTATTCTTTAAGATTAATTTCTTCTCGAAACCTTCTAAGTTAGGCTAAGTCAATCCTCAATAAAAACAACAGAACTTTCCTATTTAACTATTCCTTAAAGTAACTTCTTTTCCATACCTTTTTGGGTTTTTAAATACATATTTTCCACAGAATGGTCTTTAGCTCTCAGTTCCATCATTTTCTTCCCATCAAACAGGAACCGAAAGCTAAAGACACGCCTCGTTGTCGTAGCGAAGCTCTTTCATCTTTCTTTCAAGTTCGCAATTGAATTGCATTTTAGCTCCGCTGTCGCTTTCCCAATACATGTTTTGTCGCATTGCCGGCATTTTCACTAAATGAATTAATTAAATCACAAAAACGTAATTAGAAATTTCCACAATTGGCAATGCGAAGCAACGCGAACGTGCAACGAAAGCGGCGCCAAATGCATTTTCTTTTTCTTTCTTTCATTCATTCCAAGAATCCCTGGCATCTCTGAATGATTTTCCCTTGCTGACAGTTTTCTTTTTCTGTTTTATTTCCTAGAAGATAATCTCCATAGTGACAAGGGCACACACCTCGCCCCCGTCGGGGGATATTTTAAGAAAATCCCTAATCGATTCAAGTTCATGTAGATGAGCCATAAATTTAGGGTATACCAACACGTATGGTACAGGGAGATATTATCCATAGAGGTGATCTATAAATTGACTTTATAAATTCGGGGGACTTACCGCTGCCGAACTGCGTTTCCTCAGCAGATTGTCCAGGCACAATTGCAGCTCGAATGCCTTCAGATACAGCAGATGATAGCGATCCCTCAGGCGCTCTAAGTTGCCCTCGCCCTTCTTGGAGGACGGATTGTGGTTACTGGGAGCTGTCCCTGCTGCTGCTGCTTGGGGAGTGGTCACCGCCGGATCGGAGGCAAAGCCACTGCTCAGGCTACTAGACTTGGTGGCCGCCGACTCGCTGGTTGACTCACTAGAGCAGTTGCTGGTCAATGAGGCGGGTTGCTGCTGCTGCTGACTCGACAAATGTTGCTGTTGCTGCTGCAACTGTTGCTCCTTTTCCGCTGCTCGAATGCAAGAGCTCACCACTCGAGCGTGTGATACAATTTCATGGTACAACACCTGGAATGAAAGGGGAGATTAAAAAGGTGTCCGTTGTGGGCTCAACTTATGTGGCTAACATGACGTATACTTGATATGCCCAGGCGGCTAATTGATTAGGCCAACTCGGGGCCAAGGGAAAGGCAAAGGGAAAGGAGCAAGAGGTTAGGGAAAGGCTCGACATATAAGGATATATGGTTACAGTGGTGTTAAATAAGGTTTTTCAAGAGCTGTATTTGAAGAGCTTTTAACTGGAAATTATAAAAACAAAACCTAAAGTTAGTTGGGGATCAACATTCACTAATTTTTTCTTTTCTAGGTTCAGTATCCATGCTTTAATAATTTCTTAAATTACTTTTCGTATCTTCAAAACACCAATTAAATATCAAATCTTAGAGGTAGACTTTTCTATCCTCTGCAAATCACGCAATCGAAATTTTTCCCATTCCTGTCTTAACGTTTAACGCCCATCTGCTGCGATATGCCATCGCTCATTTGTCACTTTAACAGCTGCCTCCGGGTTATCCTCCCAATGCAACCCCATCTCCAGCTTCAAACCAAAGGTCAGCCAAAAAAATCCCACGCATTGCATAAGCTCTCTGTGCCATTGTCCCGCGATTAATCACTACTCCAGAGGATAGAGGGAGAGAGCACAGAGAGCGATATTCAATTTATCAAACATCAAAAAAATAATTACAAGACAATTGACGCCGAGGGTTCAGAGGTGGAAATAGGCGGAAAGTGACACCCACACATGGTCCCAGACTAAGGCGAAGGCGAAGGAAACTCCCAAGCCGGCTGGCTTCCACAATCTTGGACATTGATCTCCATACAAACAGTTTAACCCCGGCGAACTCTTGCGTCACTTGCGGACTGGCAAAATATGAAAAATCAACAGAAAAAAATTCAACATTTTCCTTTTTGGAAATTAGAAATCGATAAATACTCGTCGGAGAGAGAGAGACTCTAAGAGACAACCTCTTCACCTCAAGCGTTTATTTATGGCCCCAGACACATCCTTATTCAACTCAACTCCAAAGCCAAGGAAAACGGAGTCCGAGCCGAGCATAAATTTCAATTTTCACCTGCTTGATGTCTTCATTGACTCCCTTTCCCAGATGGCAAATTGAAATGTCGCAGAGATTGGGCCTGAAAATTTATGGAAATGATTTCCTCGGACAGCTAAGCTTCTCTGACGTCTTACCCAGACTTAAGCCAGCACCCCTCCTTGATTTACTTCAGTTAATGGCCCAATTGACACTCAAAGGCAGCTGCCAAAAAGAAAACCCTGCTGCAACTCCAGTCTGGCATTTTCAGTTTGAAGAATGATCCGAGAAAGCGCCGCCGCGAGTAAGATTTATGGGGAAGCTTTGGAAGATCGCAAAAACTACCCCTTTCTCTCCTTTCGGGAAAGTTTTGACGGCATTAAATAACTTTATTTCGTACATATGGTATAATTATATTGAAGGAATCTGACTGACTGATTTGAAATTGAAGGATTTTTCAGACAACTTTGTCCCCACATTTATCTTTTACATTACTTTAAAGACAGCCAATTTTCTGCTTCGTTACTACAACTTGCAAATTGTTTTGCATTATGATTTTTATCATTATATCTAATTATAAGACAGCAGACACAATAGAATTCTTTTGGGGGAGCCGAGAGACATGGGCTTGGCCTGCTTGGTTAGGCAAGTAGATAGATAAGTGCGCCTCAAACTTAACCAACTCGAGAGTCACAGTCATCGAAGAAGACGACTCTGCGCCGCTGGCAAGAACCAGAAACTTTGGAAACTCATTGGCGAAGACGCTGTGAGTAAGACTTCAAAGGTGGAGTGGGAGTGGAAACAGAAGATCGCGGAGGAGGAGCCGGAGAGGCAGGTGTGGGTTGCTTATTTGCGATACTTGGGGCTCATTACCAGAATGAAAGACCAGGGAGAACCCGGACCCCGCACCCGAACCCAACCCAGGCCGAGACTCAACCTCTGGCCAAGCCGCAACATTGTATGTCTATTTATTTTTTTTGGTAGAGTAACGCCTTTCTCTTTGTTTTCCGTCTCGATCCAAGTCGAGCCGAAACTGAGGCTGAACCACTCCCAATCTTGGCACGACTCCGGGCCCACCGCCGCCACCCACTGGATCGAGGAGCGCTGGAAATATGAGAATTTAGAATGCAGATGCAGAACTTTATGCAAAATTCGTGACTAATCTGCGCGCGCCGCCTGAACTTGAGGAGCAGCCTGGCAGGGGCCACAAGTACTATTTTTTATTTGATTTATTTTTTATTATTTTTCCCTCCGCTCGCTCGAGAGGTCTCAAGATTATTGGCGAGCGTAGGAAATAATAAAAGAAATCAGGGAAAACAAATTGAAGTCAGTGCCGAGAGTTCTCCTCCAGATTGAAATCTGATGCAGAAAAAAAAAAAACGAGCTCGGGAGAATGGCAAGAAAAGTGAATGTGTTGTGTGGCCTTTTTTTTTAACAGTGGTGTGAAAGTGTCGGAATAACAAGAGCTTCAATTTCTTGGCATGATTTGGCAGAAATTGTTGAAGTCATTGAGCCGAAGAGTGTTCACAGAACTCGAGGATTAAGCCCAAAATGCGATTTAATGCGATTAACTTTTGTAAATTCAAATAACATTATAACAACAAATTTCTTTCTAAATTGTAAATTATTGAAGAGACTTTTTGGGAGTTTGCTAAAAGGCTTTTGATTTAATTCCATTGTTTACGGAGTCCTACGAATATATTAGCTTGCAATATTTCTTTATTATTATAATTTTTTAAATTGTTTTACTGTAAAAGTCACATTTTGAAATTTTAAAAACTTTGATTAATGCTTACATTTACTCAGCTCATAATTACGAAGATTTTTGAAAAATGGTTCTTTTGAAGAATTCATTTTTCTTCTAAACGTTTTATTTTCTTCCGGCTAATTTGCCTTTCCCCGCCTCTGCCTGCCTCATTTTTATCGAGTTAGTCAGAGGAATTGCAACACATTGCTGGGCACTGAAACGATTCTTCACACTGTCTTCCAAAAGTCTGCCTACTAAATGCGAGTTTTCCTCGCATTTCCTCGTGGTGCCTGCCTATTCATGCGAAATGTTCATCGGTCGGAATAAGTTCCTCTAATGCGTGTGGCTATTTTTACTATTTTTACCAGCCGCCGCTGCTGGGCACGTCGCGTATCTATATCTCTATATCTCTCGAATGCCCAATGTCTGGTGTCTGCGGCGAGGTTCGTTGACTCAGAGGCAGAGGCAGAGGCTTTGTTGTATGTAATTCGGCGTCGGTTTTTTTTTTTTTTTTTTTTTTTTTGGTTGAGAATGACCAGAGAGTTGGGCAATCGGAATCCGAATTGGCTACACCGAAGCTATAGAGACACTATAGAGACCGCAGAGAAACGGCAACAATAATGCCCACGGATCTCGTACATTCATTATCGGAAATGTCAGTGCGTGACCTCGACCGCGTTTTTAGAATTTTACAATTTTCGTTTCTTTGCATTTTATCGGTCTTTGGTCTTCGGTCCCAGGCAACGCCTTCGGTTATTATTATTGTCTGATTCAGCCTCCCTCCCAATTGTTGGTTTTATGAATAGAACTTTACAAAACTGTTGAAAATTAAGAATGGACTTCGATAAATGTCGCACCCAACACGTGGGTAGGTTTGGTCTTGGGTCACAACCCCAATAATGAGACTCTATTCGGAAAAAAAAAAAATACTGTGCTAATTGTTATTCCATTAATCAAGCGATAGAAACACCTTTGAAACATTATCAAATCGCCATAAATCTCTTCGCAGAAAAATACCAAATTTATTGCCAGGGAAGAAGTCAACAACCCAGAAAAATTCCACCCAGAAATGTCTCTTCCATCCAAGATGTCACATAAATTGGGAACGCACGAAAAGCAAATAAATTTGCTTCGCTTCGCTTTTTATTTTTGCAAAACATTTTTATGTGAAGTAGTCACGACATTTGGAACACTTCCAAATCGCACCAAAAATAGAGTTCAACGAAATTAGAAATTAGACAGAGGAGAAAAATCAGGCGGCGACTCTAATTACCCAAAGGAAGAGGCGGCTGCTGGAAGCTGGGCGAGGCGGGGAGACAAATGGGAAGCGGAAGGGAAGAGCTGTTCGTTTGCCAAGGTAAGGTGAGATGATGTTGATTCTCCCCACTGAAAGACGACCCCAGAGGTGCAATTAATAAGCTGACCCAGAAAGCCACTCACAGCAGCTCTCTTGGCCAGAAGAATTGATGTCGTCGCCGACGTGCTGGGACCAAATGCACCGGGAATTAACTCCGACAGGGTAAACCGCTTTGATCCGACTCCGAGAATGTGTGAAGCCCGACTTGGCCTATTGAGTAACATATATATGGTATATATCGGACAAGGAGTTGTGGGTTAGTCTCCTCCTCTGGAATCTCCTCCCCCTCCTGATTCTCCTCCGTTGACATAATCACGTCCGAGTGTCACGTTCACAGATGATGGCCGGAATCCCGTCTCGTCTCGGTCTTTGGCTTTTGTTGGCATCACGTTCCGTCTGAAGCCATGCCGCAGAACAAGTTTGTCGTGAAAATCTGTGTTCTGTGTTTTTTGTTTTCATTGTGGTCTCATTAAAAACATGTTACATGGAAACCGATTATGAAATTGCTCAACTCTCTTTAACTGTTCCTCGTAATTAATTTCAATGAAATTAGGAAAAGCGCTTTTTGATTTGGTGTGAAAGAAGTGTGACTACGGAGAAATATAAAGTAGAAAATGCGGCAAGCTGAAACTTTCTACTCAACTCAAGAGTGATTAGTTTCTAAGACCCTCAGACGTTCTGAGTTTCTATAAAGCAGAGCAAATGTGTTGTGGAAAAACGAAAATTCAATTGCTTAAGTTAAAAATTTTTTATGATAGATTTTTGGGTCTCAAAACGAAAACTAAAAGTTCCCTCATAAATTTAACCCTAATTAATCCCGTAGAGCTGATAGCTGATGACAGCCTTATCTTGTGACGCATTCTTGGTTCAC